CTGAGAATTTTTGTGAGTGCAGGAAAATTTTATAGCAACTAATTTTAAATTAGTTATGATTATGAAAAGTGAAAAATTGTTCCCTTTTTCTTGGCCATATTTTTTTTTTCCTGGCAGAGAAGATAACCAATGCTTATCTTTTTATAGTTGATTCGTTAAAATCCTTTTATAGGGATATCCTATGTATTATGCTTTAGAATGTTATACCTGAAGGCTACACACTTTAAATCTCACACTCAGGGATAGAGGTATAGAAAAAAATTTAAGTTACTATCAAGAGAGAACACAACCTGTTAGCCAAATATATAGCATCCCATAAGTAAATAGCCAAAGTAGATGATTGTTGAATAGAAGAGTTAAAAAGATAGATGTAAAAATTATTGTTTGTTTTGCTTATCACTTTGGCATTAAATCAATGCAATAATAATAATAATCCTTAAACATTAACGTAATGTGTGCCCAATTGTTTTAATTTCTCTCTTTTAAAAAATATATTTTATTGATTTTTTTACAGAGAGGAAGGAGAGGGATAGTTAGAAACATCAATGAGAGAGAAACATCATGATCAGCTGCCTCCTGCACATCCTCTGCTGGGGATGTGCCCACAGACAAGGTACATGCACTTGACGAAATTGAACCTGGGACCTTTCAGTCTGCAGGCTGACGCTCTATTCACTGAGCCAAACAGGTTAAGCCTAATCTCTTAATTTAAATTCATCATTCAAATACTTATTTTATTACTTACAGTTAACCTTGTTTTTAAGCAAATTTGGTAATTTCAATTTTTAAAAAAATACATTAATTTTTTTACAGAGAAAAATGGAGAGAAAGGGAGAGTTAGAAACATCGATCAGCTGCCTCCTGCATACCTCCTACTGGGGATGTGCCCGCAAACAAGGTACATGCCCTTGACTGGAATCAAACCTGGGACCTTTCAGTCCGCAGGCCAAAGCTCTATCCACTGAGCTAAACCGGTTTCGGCTGGATATTAAGTCTTGATTTTTGCCACCAGCTAACTATAATTTTGGTCATTTTTTAAAAAGTTGACTTTAGAGAAAAAGATCAGTTTGTTGTTCCAGTTGAGTCTTGTATGTGCCCTGACTGGAAATCACACTGCAATCTTGGTGTATGCTGACAACACTCACACCAACTGAGCTACCCAGCCAAGGCCTGATCATTTCCCTCTGCAAAGCAAGGGAGTTAGAATCAGTTATAAAGGTTTCCTTTGTTTCAGAATCCCATGAATCTGTAATTTTTGAATAAAAACAAAGGACCATATTTTTGTCCATTTCTTCTGAAGCAAACAGCCACTCTGATATTTTTGTTTTAAAATTTGTAGGCTGATGGGAGGGTGGAGTGGGGGGGGAAGAGATCAACCAATGAACTCATGTGTATATGCATAACTGGAGGACACAGACAGTGGGTGGTGAAGGCTTGAGGGCAAGGGGGTAGAAGAAGGCAGTGGGGGGGGGGGGACATATGTAATACTTTCAACAGTAAAGACTTATTTTTTAAAATGGCTGTCATCAATGAATCAATAAATAGCCAAAACAAATTTTGTAGTCTTAGTTGCACAGTACTGTTAAAGCCTGCAATAATAATCTTTTTCCCCTTAAGGTTCTATTTTGTAAAGGATATTTTGCACAGTAAATAACCATATTTTCCAATTCTGTGCATATGGAAAATTATATATATTTTTCTAGTGGGTGAGAGTCATTTTACTCTATTTGAAAGGCATTGCAATGAGAAAGAGTACTAGTAATACTAAGGACTTTTAACACTTTAGAGATTGATTTGAAAGCAATCTAATACAGAAAATCCAAATTAGAAGTCTATGCCCTATAGGTGCATTCAGACAATCTGCCCTTTTTGAATAGTGTCATTGATGTTTCTTTATACTCATGGGTCCCTTTTTGAAGTACAATAACATTATATCATGTACTTATGTGGTAGTAGTAGATTACAAAGATACAAACATGTTATTTTTAAATAATGAAATTTAAAAATTAACATGGCCGAGACCGGTTTGGCTCAGTGGATGGAGCGTCGGCCTGCAGACTGAGGGGTCCCGGGTTCGATTCCGGTCGGGGGCATGTGTCTTGGTTGTGGGCACGTCCCCAGTGGGGAGTGTGCAGGAGGCAACTGATCGATGTTTCTCTCTCATCGATGTTTCTAACTCTCTGTCCCTCTCTCTTCCTCTCTGTAAAAAAAATCAATAAAATATATATTTTAAAAAAATTAACATGTTTGTATCTTTGTAATCTTCACAGGGATAAACTATTATGCATGTTTTCCATTAAGTTGTTAAAATATTTTATCTTGCCAAAAACTATAAAACATATTCTCTTTTGTTATTGTAGTTAATACTTACCTGAGGATAATGACACACACACACACACACACACACACACATCTCCCTTTGATATTTCTAGAGAGAGTGAGAAGTGGGGAGAGAGAGACATAGATGTGAGAGAGATACATCGATTGATTGCCTCCTGAACACACCCTGACGGGGTGGGGGAATCTAACCTACAACCCAGGTATGTGCCCTTGACTGGGGAATAGAACCTTCAACCCTGTGGTGATCAGGCTGACATTCTAACCACTGAGCACATCAGCCAAAACAAAACATACTTTCAAATCCACAACGGAGGATATTATTTTGATTTTAGAGAGAGAGAAACATCAGTGTGAGAGAAACATTGATTGATTGTCTCCTGTTCACGTCCCAACAGGGATTTAACCTGCAACCTGGGTAATGTGCCCTGATCTGTAATCGAACTCACAGCCTTTTGGTGTGCAGGAGGACGCGCCAGTCCACTGAACCACCCGGCCAGGGCTGTAAAAAGTTTATTTTCATTTCCAGAGTTGTCTTTCTTTTCAACTCTTGGTCTCATTTTCTTTTTACAAATTAATAAGTACTTCTGTTGCAGTTAAGGATTCCATGCCTAGCCCTTAAATTACTGTTTCCCAACTGGTGACAGATTGGAAAATGAATTAAAATTTTAGTAATCTAACTACTACTGTGGTTTTGGAAGGGTATTTTTAGATGTTCAAAATAAAATATTCCGTTACACCAGGAAAATCCAAGGGAGGGAGGAAGAAGAAAGAATTCCCTTAAACTGACCAAATTTAGCTCCTTTCGCATGGTTGTCTTTACGGTTTCCTACTTGACCTTCCAGACTTAGTGAATTCTTGGGTCAGACCCCCCACACAAAATTGACTCAGGAAAATGAAGGCATTCAGCTGTGGTTTTACAGATTTATGTCTTAATGCACTTGGACTCATTTGAAAATGTTAACTTAATAACAACTAACAATAAGTGATGGTATGAGAGAGAGAGAGCTAGAAACATCAATCAGAGAGAAACATCGACCAGCCGCCTGTTGCACACCCCTACCGGGGATGTGCCCGCAACCAACATACATGCTCCTGACCGGAATCGAACCTGGGACCCTTCTGTCTGCAGACCGATGCTCTACCACTGAGCCAAGCCGGTTTTGAAACTTCTGTGAATTTTAATCAGCCTAGTGGAATGGTAATAATTTAGCAATGTTTTAATCTGGAGTTTATTCTGTAACCATTACTGTATTCATTGTTAGGCAGATATGGATACATGTCTCCTAAGATGAGAATCTGGCACCTGGTTGTAAATTGACATTTAAAACACTAAGATCAGTCAGCTTTTACCCCAGAAAACTCCATTTTCTGATTTGTAGAAAATTAAGCTGTGGCATGACTGAACATGCACAAGTAGCAATGCATTTATTTTTTGAAAAAGAGCACTTCATTGCCAATACCCTTTTCCCACATGCATTCATGTCATTTTTTGAAAATTTACATGTTCTTCATGTAAAGAAGCTTATGTTGAAAAAAATTGCATCATAACTTATTTCTGCAACACATTTGTAGGAAAGAATATCTTGGAATTTTCCATTACACATTTATTTAATACTAGAACTTTTTATATCATCATGAATGGTGACTTCAGGGAAGTAGGGACTTAATATTCAGTATTCTTTGTCAAAGCTGACTGGATTTATACCAGAGGAGCTTCCCAAGTCTAAATCTACACAGCAGCAGCAACAAATGCAGTTTTACTGAGGTCAACACATTCCTTAAGAAAGAATAATTATATTGAAATTAAAATCCTCAAAAGATGGATTGTAGGCCTTAAATGACAAATTTTATTTGCACTCATCAGTCTCTGATCCAGACAGAAAAGTTTATTCTAAATTAGAAATCAAGATCACACAGACTGAACGCACACTGAGCCCCAGGGGAAAACCATTTGCATCTCTTTATCTTTACAGCTCTTAGTAAAATAAGATCTCTAGTAGTCTGTTTCTCTAGTTTAACACAAACTGGATTAATGTTAAAGATTAAGTTTAATATAATGTATGTCAGTTTTTAAAAAAGATTAAACCCACAACTTTTATTTTTTAAGACTACTCTCCCTGAGTTAAACAGACATTATTAAGGAGGAGTAAATAAAACTAAATTTTATTTATCACAACTGAATTCTGTAGTAGAGATTAATAAGTATCAACCTGAATGACTATCAGACTCACTAGTAAAGTTTTTGCACAGTACTAATCCTTTGAGACTGTAGTCATCCACTGAATGGGAGATCTGGGAATGGAAGTTTCCTAAGAGAGAGTGATACAAATGTCTGTTATAGAAACATGGAAAAGAAATATAAAGATAATTTATATTTACAACCTGAACTCCATGGGGAAATAATTTGTATATCATAAATTTGAAATCATAGCCGAAACCGGTTTGGCTCAGTGGATAAGAGTATCGGCCTGCAGACTGAAAGGTCCAGGGTTCGATTCCGGTCAAGGGCATGTACATTGGTTGCGGGTACATCCCCAGTAGGGGGTGTGCAAGAGGCAGCTGGTCGATGGCTCTCTCATCGATGTTTCTAACTCTCTGACCCGCTCTCTTCCTTTCTGTAAAAAATCAATAAAATATATTAAAAAATAATAATAAAATAAATAAATTTGAAATAATAAAATCAGTGCCCTTTTCTCAGGTTTCTATTCTATTCTAGATGTTTAGCCCTAGAAACAAGGTCTGCAGCTAGCCGAAACTGGTTTGGCTCAATGGATTGAGCGTCAGCTTGGGGACTGGTGGGTCCCGGGTTTGATTCCGGTCAAGGGCATATACCTTGGTTGCGGGCACATTCCCGGTGGGGGGTGTGCAAGAGGCAGCTGATCGATGACTCTCATCGATGTTTCTATCTCTCTCCCTTCCTCTCTGTACAAAATCAATAAAATATATATTTTTTAAAATAAAAAAAGGTCGTGAAATTAAAAAAAAAAGGTCTGCACCTAATCAATCAAATGTACAGCACGTAATATATAGTTATTTTACAATTTGTACATTTTACGTGATCTAATACATTGTTTCACTAACGAAACCATCACACCACACCTCTCATCCTCCCCAAAACATTAAATATCTAAGTATAAAAGCCAGAACTTTAATCTAGTTGACTTTGAAGTCTGTTAATACTTGCCTCTAGGGTATGCTGAGAATAGGTTGTTTTGAACAATTTACCCATTCTTCTTTTTTTGAACCATAGCAGTCATAAGATGTTTTGTTAGGATTGAGTAATATTAGTACTTGGTTTGTGACCATAGAATTGAGCAAAGTTAATTTTGTGGAGACTGCAAAGTATGGGAACTTATCCAGTACTTTGGCTTATTAGCCATACTTACTAACCAACTTAAGTAACTCTCTTAAACAACCATGAACAAATATTCTTTGTACCCTGTTTCCCCAAAAAGAAAACAGTGTCTTATATTAATTTTTGCTCCCAAAGATGCGCTAGGTCTTATTTTCAGGGGATGTCTTATTTTTCCATGAAGAATACGGTACACATTTATTGTTAAATGAAAATAAAGGATATTTATTACCTGTACACGGTACGGTTGTACGGTAGTTGTCAACACAAACCAGACAAACTGTGAATCCTACAGTATCAAGAATTTACTCATTTATTCAATGACTATCATCATCTTCTGGAACATCACCATAACAATTCAATTCCTGAATTTCCTGGTGAATTTCTTGTGTCTCCATTTCTTTCAGAATCAGTGGACCAAATCTCTCATGTTTAGTCTGGGGGGTGGGGAGGCCTTATTTTCGGGGAGATGCCTTATATTTCACTCAGAAGGAAACCTGTAAGTAGGTCTTATTTTCGGGGAAACACGGTAAACCATACCAAAAGTAGTAATTTCCTTTCAGATACCTATGTGGTAAGTCACCATTGGTCAAAAAGCTGTTAGTATATTATCCATATGTCGAGTAAAACTAATCTGATGACCTTTTTTGCTATAATTCTTCTTCATGAAGACTGGGAGTGAGATATTAAAACAGTTTTATAGATATTTGTACAGCCAGTGTGGCTCAGTGGTTAAGCATCAACCTATAAACCAGGAGATCATGGTTCAATTCCAGTCAGAGCATGCTCGGGTGGGGGAGGGGGCTTGTCGGAGGCAGTCGGTCAGTTATTCTCATCATTGATGTTTCTATCTTTCCCTGCCTCTCTGTAATCAATAAAAATATTTTTATTTAAAAAAAGAAAAGCCAAAACAGGTTTGGCTCACTGGATAGAGCGTCGGCCTGCGAACTGAAAGGTCCCGGGTTCTATTCCAGTCAAGGGCATATACCTTGATTGCGGGCACATCCCCAGTAGGGGATGTGCAAGAGGCAGCTGATGGATGACTCTCTCATCCATGTTTCTAACTATCCCCCTCTCTTCCTCTCTCTGAAAAACCAATAAAATATTTTTTTTTTAAAGAAAGAATACTAAAAAACAATATCATCTTCTGGAGGGGCTTAATCACAAGGAACAACAACAGCCTGTAATTATTGGAATCCAGAGTTTATCTGGAGTATCTAAATGATTTATTTCAATAATGTGAAATTTGCATTTAAACTGATCCCATCCATAAAATAAATACAAGATGTAATGGCCAAGATCTATCTGGCACTACTAACTACAAACATATTCAAATGAAAGGTGTAATTAACGCATACATTACCTTTTCAGTCAATACTTCCTCCCTATAACTCAGTTTGATTCTATACTTCAAATGTTATGGCTGTAGTGAGGTGGCTAGAGGTCTTGTTTTATCCTATAGGCCATATCTTGCAAGTCTGTTTGGGTTGATTTTTCTTTGAGTGCCAGAGATCATGCCAAATGCTGTTGTCCTGCCACCACCAAAATGGGTTCTGAACCCAAATACAATGTTGACACTGGTATGGTCTTATATGTCTTGGCTAGTTTTTCCTGAATTTCTGTCTTGGGTACTGTTGCCTTCCCAGGGTGAAGGAAGTCAATGAGCATTTGTTTTCATTAAAGTAGTATGCTGGTCTTCGACTTCCTGGTTGGGGTAGTTCCTGTGTTGTTCATCTTGGCCGCCAGTCTTTAAGCAGCCAAGGAGGGCTCAATACTTTGAGTATGTACTTAGGTGTGGAATTTCTGGGGCATGTGGTAATTTTATGTTTAGCATTTTTAGGAACTGTTGAATTGCTTTCCACAGCAGCTGTACAGTTTTACATTCCACCAGTTATGTACAGTGGCTTAAATTTCTCCATATTCTTGCCAACAGTTGTTGTTTTCCTTTTTTAAAATTATAGCATCCTGGCGGGTATCTCATTGTGGTTTTGGTTTGTATTTCCTTAATGACTAATGATGTTAAGCATCTTATTTTTTTGTCCCTTTGTATCTTCTTTGAAGAAATGTCTTTGCACATTTTAAATTGGTTATTTGTACTTTTATTGTTGTGCTGTAAGAGTTCTTTGTGGGTAACTAGACCCCTATATATATAATTTGCAAATTACTTCTTTGCATACATTGTTGTTGTTTTTAGATTGGACATTTTGAGTATTAAAATGTGGCAACTCGCCGAAACCGGTTTGGCTCAGTGGTAGAGCATCAGTCTGTGGACTGAAAGGTCCCAGGTTCAATTTTGGTCAAGGGCATGTACGTTGGTTGCGTGCACATTCCTGGTAGGGGGTGTGCAAGAGGCAGCTGGTCGATGTTTCTCTCTCATTGACGTTTCTAGCTCTCTATCTCTCTCCCTTCCTCCTCTCTGTAAAAATATCAATAAAATATATATATTTTTTAAATGTGGCAACTCTCTTCATTTTTCTCCTGGGTTTGTTAATACTGCTTATTGTAGTGTTGTTTGTAGTGTATTTTTTGTTGTTGTTTAGTGTATTTTTTAACTAATTCTGCAAAATACATATTCTTTGCCTTGTGTGGCAACCAAAACTTCTGTTCTATTAGCTTAATAATCAGCTGAGTGATTGTACAGAGATTTCCATAAATACCTGCAATCAAAAATTCTTTTTATTGAGTTCTTTTTGTACATTGAGGGTATCCCTTAAATGCTTAGCCAGACATAATTATAATTATGCCTTCGTTAGCCTTCACTTCCTGCTTCTGTAAAGCCTCAAAGTCAACCAGAGGTGATAGGTTAGGGCCTTCTCAAGTCTTTCTTGGTCATGTGCACAACCCTGGGCATGCGTGTGACCTTCTATATTTCCAGGAATATATGGGAGCTTTCAATGCCCTTATGGACATCTCATTTTCTGGCCCTTTCCTCCCAAACTCCATGGTTGGTCCATTGTCTGCTCCAACTGTTACCTGTCCCTCAGGCAGCTGTGACTAAAACATTTGCCTGTAAATGTTTTGGACAAAGTCCTGTCATTTCTTTAGCATTGGGCCCCTTTTGAGTTGGTCTTTCAGGAAGCAGCCAGACAGGTGTAGACAAATAATTACATCACTTTGAAAAAGAGATCTGTTCTGGTTCCTCAGTTACCAGCAATGTGAGCTGTTATTTTTAGGGCTGTTCCTGATCTGGGAGTTGGGGTAAATGAAATGCCACAAACTCTGTTCTTAATGGGATTCAACTTTTTTTTTTTTTTAATATATGCACTACTTGGGTTGTTGCAAGCCTTGGTTAATTTCCAAAGTTCAAAAAAAAAAATCTGTTTTGACCATTTTTTTTGGTTAATTTTATGGAGAGGTGGATTTCAAAATTCCTTATTCTGCCATTTTCATTGATGTCATCTCTAAGTATACTTTTGGTCTGAGTCTTGAAAAGACTCATTTTTGCCTCCCTAGTGTTAAAATACTCCAATTATATTAAAAATGTACTTTTTCATTTTCTAATTTTTATTCTATAGAAGAGTGACCACAACCAGTGGTTTGGCTGTGTCTTCTAAATCATTTTTATGTATTACTTATTTTTTTAAAAACATTTTTATTGATTGCAGAGAGGGAGATGGAAAGAGAAACATCACTGATGAGAAAGAATCATTGATTGGCTGCCTCCTGCATGGCCCCCACTGGGGATCGAGCCCTGTGGACACATGGGCCCTGCTGGGGCTTGTGCCCTGACCAGGGATGGAACTGTGACTTTCTGGTTCATAGGTCCATGCTCAACCACTGAGCTATGCCAGCCAGGGTGTACTACTTATTTTTAACCACTACTTATGGTTCAAGACAGGGCATTCACACGGGACCACTATTATTGTGTTGGCTGTTGTCATTCTTTTATTTGACAATTTAAGGGAAAAGAGGTCAGTGCCCTTGACTACATAGTCAGGTATTGCATGTTTTAAAAATTCTTGTGGCTCCCCAGTTGAAAATCTCTATTCCAGATGATTCAGTAAAATATAGAGATGGGGAGGAATATATGGTGTTTTCCAAGTCCTTTTGTTGTGGTTGATTTTTTATATAAGAATTCAGTTATTTTATGACATATTATAGAAACCTCCTTCCAGATATTTATTAGTTAATATCAGCCAAATAGCTAGCTTTATCATGTATCCTTCGTTTAACTGGGTTCTTTATAATTGCACCATTGTATTGTTGATATCTTGACCTAAGTTAATAGATTTCTTTGGCCCATTAACTTGGTATCACTTTTCCTAAATTACTTTCTTACTAAGGTATTTCTTCCCTTACACTTAAAAAAAATAAATCTATGTCATAAAAAATAAATCCTTGTTCCAATTTGATACACTGTATTTTTTGGTTCCTTTAAATCTAAAATATATTTCTGGCATGCAGTTAGTATATCTAGGGTACTATGTACTTTATTTGTTTCTTACCTAAAACACAGGAGTGCTTTTTTTATGAATAAGTAACATGGCTACATTAAAATCCTATTGCTGTGGAAATATTTCCATAGCAGTAAGATGATTTAAAATGTGTGTTTGTGAGTGAATTGTAAAATTACTATCTGACATATGTATTGGAAAATTCCACCAATTCTGCCAATTTTCAGTTTCTGGCACACTGGCTAGAATTTGTACATGAGGAAATCAAACCCTGTTTTCTCTTGATTTACGAATCCCTGTGGTATTTTGGAATATGAAATTCAGTTAAATGCCTGCTACTACCCTGTTTCCCCAAAAATAAGACAG